ATGAAAGGTGGAATCTCTAAGTTGGTTGCTTCCTTCCTGTTTTCTGTCTTGATGACCATACCATCTCATTCCTTTCCCTGAAAAAGCAAGCATTAGTAGGAGTAGTATCTTGTATTTTTCACTTCTCTTTTTTTCCTGTTAAAAGAAACAGCCATATTGGGCAGACACCTTTCTTCACTGGTGAGGCAGCAGTATCCACCGTCATGTGTAAATTGGCTGTCCATGGCTTTTCTGTCAGTTAACACATCAGAAATTGTCGGCGCGTGCATTATTACAGGGCCCCAGTGTGTTGTCTGTTCAGTATTTAATTAAAGCGATACTGGTGACTTAAAGTCTTTTTTTTTAAAGGTTAAAAAAGTGCCTTCCTCTGAATCCTTTGCCAATTTTTGTGGTTTTGCAACCACATTTTCCCATATTATTTAAAATATTTCTCTTTGTTGCTGTTTGAAGAACATATAAACAAAAAGAATCTAAGGCCCCAATCATACAACTGTTTTAGTGCGAGTGGGTCCATGAGCAAGTTATTCTGTTGAAGTTAGTGGGGTTCAATGCAGTCACAGGGGTCCACTCATATAGATACAGTTGCAGGACCTACGCCCTAATGGTCTTCTGTGCAGATCCCTTTGCAGGATCAAGACCTAGGCCATTGATTACACAAAGGAATCTTGAAACTGTATGAAATATATGATGACAGCATTGAAAACAAGGGAAAATAATATCACTAATTTACAGTTACGGTAACCTTACTACTGTTGTAACAATACTAGGTTAAAAAAATCAGAATGGCATGATTTTTTTAATTGATCATATACCTTTAAAGTGGGCTGAAGATGTTTTGTTTTTATTGAAAAGTTAATAACAACTTGCATGTTGCCTTTGAAATCAAATTATAGTCAGTGATCAGCAGTAGAATTTCTATAGCAGTACATTTTTATATTCTTAATGATTTTGTGTTCATAAACATTGTGAAATTATAACTTAAAGTTACCAGCTATTGGACCAGAAGACCATGCTTTGAAATTGATATAAGATTTACCTGACATTAATGAATTATTCTCTGCTTTTAAAAATGATTCTGATTTTTAGTTCAACATGTTTCTAACACATACACTTACTTTGTAAACATATGCCTTGGTTTTGTTTCTTGTTTACAGCAATCCCTAAAGTAAGGCTGGATACAATCTACATTTGTGGGGTAGATGAAATGAGTACCCAGGACATCTTTGCCTATTTTAAAGAGTATCCTCCTGCTCATATTGAATGGCTTGATGACACATCATGTAAGTAAACTAAGTCTTTAACCTATGTTTCCTAATATTTTTGGTATTCCAGAACTCTTGGATTCTATTACTAGTTCTGCCACTGACTTCTTTTGTGGCATTTGGGCAAGTTGCTGATCCTTCTCTCCTTTTGCTTCCACATCTGTAAACTTACTACCTCAAGGAAATGTTGGAAAGAAATATTTAATAAAGAACTGTGAATATCAAAAGTAATATATAGCTAAGTTATTGGTTACAGGGTGGACCTCCGTGGTCCAGCACCCTCAGGACCTAACTGGTCCCAGATGAGGCACTTTGCTGTACCAGGGGAGGTCATTTCTGACCCTACCCTCTTCTCTGCTGCCCCACAGGGCCTCCCAGGTCTCCTAGGCACCCAAGCTGGGCCCCACAACAGCC